ATGGTACAAATGAGTAAGGCATAAACCTGGTGTGAACTGACTGAGTGGTCATCTTAGCAACATTATTTCTTGTGCCTTTTCCCAGCCCGTGGCTTGTGTCTTATCTGTGAAGCCCCACATACAGCCTGTTTCTTCCATATCTCTGTAGGTTGCTTTCCCCCGGCTCCACCCACAGGCTCCTGTTCCCAGCAGGAGCACAAGGCTTCATTTGCTCGTTTTTTGTAAGAGAGTATACCCATTTGCTCACAAACATCAGGCAACAGGGTTTTGGGTTCCCATGGCAGTTGGGCAGTAGAAGTTGAAACAGTGATCAGGGCAGGGTGTCGACAGATGCATTTTTAATTGGCATAGGGAAATGGCAGTGATTGCCTGTGTTTCGCTTGATGACAATCAACTCAGGGCTCTTCTCTATAGCAGCAATATTAATGTGCAAGAGAACACATTGAATGGGTAGATGGATGGATGGATGGATGGATGGATGGATGGATGTGTGCAGACTCTTGGGCAACAAAAGTCAACTTCCACAGAATTTCGTACTACAGGCCTGGTTTCCTTCTTAAAACTGAAATTTCTGCATTAGACTAGCCTCACCATTTCCTAGGGCCTGTGAAGCAGGATAAAGAACATATGAAGCCAAAAAGTGAACAAACTTAGCAAACTCTAGAAGCAAACTTCAAGGCTAAGACATGGTGCTTCTACAGCAATCCTTGAAGCTTGACGTTTGCGAATAGGTGAAAACAGTGTTCAAGGTTGGGTTATCTGGCACCTTTCAAAGTGCTGAATTCGTTTAAAAGATGAGTGCTGAAAGTGGTGACAAGTGAAATGACATTGCATTGTTGAAAGTGCAGCATTTCATACGTGGAACAGTGTGGCGGTTTCCCCTTGGAAGTGCTTCCTTGGAGAACGTCATAGTTCACTGCTCTGGCATAGCAGTCTCCTCCCTGTGGATAGTTTGCACATTGCAGAAGCTAATTCACCAGGCTTTCTGATTTAGATTCTAGCCCAATAGTGCTAGTAAAAGCAACTAGTGAACGTAATACAAGGCTACAGCTGGGCTAGGGAGTGCTTGCTTTCATAAACTGACATTTGGAAGCAAGTACTTAAGTCCCAGAAAGGATCTATACGAGTGCAAGTCCGAATAAAAATGAACCATCATAATGCAGGTGCTTTCAGGTGGACATCAAGAAAATATACGCTAATTTGTATCCATAAAATGGTGATTTTTGCAGCATTTTTACAGCTGCAGTACGGATTTTAAAGTGATAGCATATTAAGTTGAAACTGCAATGCTTTTAAACCTGTCATAACTTTAGCTAGACTGAATATAAAGGTGTTATTTACCCGCAACTGTAGTCTGCTTAGCACACAACCATTTTAAAATCATGTGTATCAAGCAGCACTGCAATTACAGGGTGCATAGCAGGGACTTTATCCTGCAGAATGCTGATGATATCCGAGACCTGTGTAATACTTGCGTTTCTTATTAAAGCGTACGTAGAAGGCATCCTTTTGAAGCACTCAGCACCTTTAAAGTTTGGTCAGTGTAGTCAGTTTTCCTTCATTGGTCCTTCTTGGAAAATAGCCCTTAGCCTTGCTGTGAGTTTGGCAACAACAGCAAAAAGGCACTCCACCTCTCTTCACTGCTATTATGGTACACCTGTGGGTGCTTGGACTCAACAGTCCAATAAAGATCAAAAGAAGCTCACAACTGTCTGGCAGTTTGTTTCAGGCATCCTGCAAACAGTGGTGTCAAGTCGCGGGCTTCAGTTCAAGAAAGCTCTGAAACATGTCCTTCATTTTAAGCATATACCTAACACAGCCCTTAATGCTTTTCTGAGCTAAGTGACTGTTGTCTCAGTAACTAACCACTGGTCATTAATAGAGAAGGAAATGTGCATTTAGAAAAAGTGCCTTTGGCCAGGCCCTGACCTGTGTTTATGAAGTGGCTGAACCGAAACCTGAGTTGAACTGAAGATGCTTTCGGACCACAGGCAGATGCTCAGCCTGCTACAGGTGATGCTCAGTGTTGCACAGACAACCTGTCTTCATTGCAATGCCATCTGGCAAGAAGAGCACCCCTTATAATACTTTTATTGATACTTTGCAAGGCATTAAATATTGTTTTCACAAAGACGCTGAGGGATTGGAAATAACTTTGCCTAAAATGGTTGATATTGGCAATGATAAAGATGGAGAGACCTCAAGACTTCTCAATCCTGGACAAGTACTCTGCCCAGTGAAGTCTTCTGCCTTCAGGGACAGAAATGGACACAGCTCCAGGCAAGATGATGTGGGAAGAACACCAAAGAGCCTTGTGGCTCGTGCTCATCTGTAAATCAAATTCTTGGTGTCAATACTGATGAGTCAGTCTTGCTATGACTGCAAAGAGAGACAGCTAGGTCTGTGATGTTACAGATCAGTTCATTGCAGAGCCATCATTTGGCGGCAATTTATCATCATCACTCTAGATGCGTGTCACTCATTTTACTGAATGATGTTGGAAACTCAGCATAGAGTCCTACCACAAATACACTGTGGTTCTGTAGCAAGGAGCCATGGGAAAAGAAGATTTGGACAGTGGGATTTTTTAATTGCTTTTTCAAAATCTCTTGGTGTAAGATGTGACAAATAAGAAAAAATAGAGACACGTATTTTATTGTTTATAGCTTTCATTAATTTTTAAGGAATGAGTCAAAGAATTTGCTGAAAAGAACGAGTAGCAGAGGCTGTATGATGAACAGATCTAAATGCCATTTTAATATTTGATGAGACCAAAAGCTTCTCGTCACTAACCATCTTTTAATGGCACTTGCCCTTTGTCTGGGTATATGTGGCTGCATGTTTCTACGGGACTAACTTTTCTGGCTTTCTAATGAAATACCTCTCAAGATGGGGATGAAAGTGGTGGTTCGGAGGTGTTTGGTTGCCATGTCAGTGTAGGTAGTGATAAGGTGGGAAACTGAAGCTTTGTTTGCATCTCAGTGTGCTCACGTGTTATTTCAAACTCTCCACATCGAGTGACTTCTCATTCAAAGATGATGAAAAATACTGATGCACAGAGCCTTACAGCCAGTCTGTCTGCCAGAGGGGTAACCGGTAACGCAGAGACGAATGGACTGAATTGAGCAAAGCACTTGAAAATGTGTATCCATTTCCTGTCAATAGAGTGCTCAAGTGTATGTTTTTAAGTAGAAAGCCTCAGGAACTAGGTCCCCGTTTGAATGGCTCTGAAACCTGTGCACAGCAACCTGCATTGAGTCAGATGCAAACCTGCAATGTAGCCAGGAACTGAAGTTGCGAGCCCTGCCTTTCCTTCGTCATCCCAACAAAAAATACTCCTCCATTGCTCGCATGACATCTGATGTAGGGGGAGGAGAAGAAGAGCCTAGTAACAGACCAAGTCTATGAAAGTTTTAGCATGACTTTCTGTTTTTATGGAGTCAGTGGTGAATGCTGACTTGTGGCGATGCAGGGAACAGGGTTGAGCTCTCACAGCCGTAGCTGTTTTTGGTATGCTGCGCTAACACTGAATTACTGACAAATAGCTGGAAATGGATGTTCTGCATGATGTAGGAATAATGTGAACCCTGACTGAACTTCTGTTGGGTTTTCCTTCCATTTGCTGTTTCAACATGAGAACAAGGAGGGCATTATTTATAACAACAAATATAAAGTCGCACAAGGGGAAAAGATATTTTGAACTGACAGAATTTTGAAAGTGCAGATGTGGTTTTGTAACTAAAGGCATTTTCAAACAGGAAAATGAGAGTTAAACAGAAGTTAGATGTCCTTGAAAAAGCTTTCCTTTTTTTTTTTAACTTCCTGGGAAATATTCACAGCTGTCTTGATGCAAAAGTAATCAGAATATCTATATATCTGTATCACAGTATCTCAGCAGTTACACTATTTTAAAAGTACTTGAGTGGATTTCTTTATTGATGTCATCCAGTCAGAACAAGACAGATCAGGAACAATAAATTGTTTAGAAACTGGAAATAAGAGATTTCTTAAAATTTAAATTAAGGTTAGGAAACCTAATTTTAAGGAAGTATACCATTCTGGGGAAACAGAAAAATGTTCTAAGAGACTTTCAGAAAGGCATTCATTCAGTGAAAGATCCCATTCAACATGAGTTGATTTGGGATAGGACTCCATGTCATACAAGTTGTTTATTATCAAGGGACTATATCCAAAGGACTGAAACTTTTTTTAAAGCTGTGTAGGACTGCGTAGTTAATGTGGAACAAAATAATTTAATGCATTGAAACTGAAAAATGTTCTAAGAGACTTTCAGAAAGGCATTCATTCAGTGAAAGATCCCATTCAACATGAGTTGATTTGGGATAGGACTCCATGTCATACAAGTTGTTTATTATCAAGGGACTATATCCAAAGGACTGAAACTTTTTTTAAAGCTGTGTAGGACTGCGTAGTTAATGTGGAACAAAATAATTTAATGCATTAACTTTGGAAATTATCAACAGAAAATGGCATTGCTTTAATTCACTCAAAATTAGGATATTAAACCATAGAGAACCTGATCCTACAATGTCATGCAGTCTTCATGGATTTCAGTTGATATTGCTGAGTTTCTAGGAGAATCATCAGTGCAGATTTCATTTCATGAATCAGTTTCCTGAGTGTGAAAATGGAGACTAAAACTGGCCTAATTTAAAGTGGGTTGGTAGGCTAAATTAATTAATAATATTATAGAGCTTTCTGTTCCTTGGGTAGGGGGTACCAAGTAAATGTTAAAGATGAGTTTGCACTTCAGAAACAATGTCTTTGGAGATTCTGTTGAGAAACCTATCATGGTAGTGATTGTTGTTGGGGGGAGAGGAGTTTGGACCCTGAATCCCTAGTTCTTAAAAGCTCCTCAAAGTGAATGGTATCAGATGGGAAAAAAAGAATTCATGGATTCTCCTTATTTAACGTCTTGATACTCTTCCTTGTAAGGCTCTGGAGGAATTATTTCTGACTCTTTCATTTGTTTTTCTCAGGTTGGGGGTCACACCATGCTGCCCATTCGTTGGATGCCTCCAGAGAGTATCATGTACAGGAAGTTCACCACAGAAAGTGATGTCTGGAGCCTGGGGGTTGTATTATGGGAAATTTTTACCTATGGCAAACAGCCATGGTATCAGCTCTCAAACAACGAGGTGTGTGTAATACATTCTCAAACCGTGTTGGGAAGGCTGGCAGGTTAACTGTTGGTGTAGCTTCTCTGGAGAATAGACAGCAACAAATTTATTTAGTAAAGACAAAACCCCTGATATCAGGTATTTATGGTATTGTCATGAACTTTGTGGTTGAATTTCTTCCTTGCCAGCCTTTTCTCCCCAAATGGAAGTTGTCCAAGCAGAACTATACCAGTTGGAATTTAGCTTTTTCCTTTGTATAGGATAGAGTCTGCTCTGGGTATTGGGAAGGATCATGAGGCAATGAAAAGGAGCTTAGCTATCTCCTGAATGGGCTTTGGGTGATTGCAATTCAGTATCATACATGTCATTGTTGCAGAGTGGCTGCCAAAAACCATTCTTGAATAGATTGAAGTAATCTGGAGATCTCTTGATTTCCAGGCAGTCACAAGTAACTCCTTTCCAGAGATTAGCCACAGTGATACTTGTTAAGTTTAAGGAGGGAGGGAGGGAGAGGCACAGGTGCTCTGTGTGAGCAGGGTGAAAACTGAGCCTCCTTCTGAGATGAGGTGAGGTTGATAGGTGGGTAGAGAAAGGAGGTATGGGATTACTTCCTGGCTATCATTCCCTCAGGAGTGGAAGGGGCAACATGGGTGAACTTAACATCAGAGAGTTATTGGTCCTTGACAACTTACATTACAGTGATTCTTCCAGATCACATACCACTGCTCATGCATCTACCCAGAAATTCAGCCCTTGGCAGGGCTGGCTGGCTGAACGGCCACCCGTGGGGCCGCCGGTGCGCTTAACAATTAACTCTGCTGGGCTGTTGGCAACGGGAGCCTCACATGAGGCTCAACATCAAAGAAATCCATTCCCTCCTCCAGAACTTGGCCAAGGCATCTCCAGTCTACTTGGATATTTTAGGCTAAAGTCTCCTAGCATTTCTTCTTATGGGCTGTGGGAATGAATGTGTTCAACTGCCGCTGAACTCCATTAAAATGTGTTCTTAACTTTGACAGTATTAATGACAAAGTTGCGGAGAAGCTTTCAAAGGGCAAGCAATGTGCACTTCTCCATCTGTAGACACAGTATTGACTTTTTAGACATTACTGAGACGTATCTCTTCTCTCTCTCTCTCTCTCTCTCTCTTTCAGTTTCTATCATTTTTTTCTTCTCTCCTGTCTTTCTAATCAATTTGGCTTCTGCATTATTGTAACTCTGCATAGACAAAGGCCTTAAAAACCTGATCTGTTATATCAGCAGACTTCAGTTTGCCCACCACAACTAACAATGCCTTGTTGTATTCATGCCTTTGATGTGGATGAAAAAAGGGAAAAATATATTTGACTCGAACTTTGTGATTTCTGCTGTACAGCTACTGGGAGTTTATATGGATTCACCTCAATTTTTTTGCTTCGGCATGTGGGTGGAAAAAGAAGACTGGTGTTCTTCTCTACATGAAGCATGTTCCTTGCAGAGATAAAGCCAGATGGAAAGAAGACAGTCTTGTATGATACACTGTCTGGAGAACTAGGGGATCAGATGGCATCCAACGCCACAAAAAAGCACTGAAATGATTTGATGGAAGGCAAGAGGGGATTTAGCACTTTCCCTGAAGAGTCTTTCTGAGGACTAAAGGGATTGTTCAAGGAGGTGTTTTGCCAGCACCTTTCATTGCCAGATACAAGTAAAAGGGAAAAGATGCTGCCTGCACTGCACACAATTATGTTACAACATGATAAACTAAAGACATGCCCTTATTTTGTCTTCTGGTAGGATATTGTCATGCCACTGGTATAAAAATGTTCTCCAGCTAGTCTTTTTTAATAAAGGCTGAAGCTAGGCTTATTAATGTACAGTATTAATTTCAGGATCACATGTTGAAACTAAGGATTTTGATAAGATAGGACAAACTATAGATGCTGGGGCAGGTGTATCTTATACTGTGCTTGTCCAGCAGCATATTCCTTCCTTCCTCAATCCTTTTTCTTTTTTTTTTTAACCATGCAAGCAAAACTGTGCATGGTCTTTGTCGATTAATGCCCTTCTTGTGCAGAAACTATCACTCATCTTGTAGTACACCCTAGTAGGCATAGCGAACTCATAACAATGTAACTTATATTTCATTAGAAGGGGCTAATGGAGGACATTAGCCATGTTAAAATGCCTTTACGATGTTACTGATAAAATAGGCTGATATAACATGAATAATCTAATGCACGGAGATCACTGGTTATGTTTGAGGCATGGCAGGGGATAGAGATCTCTAGGGAAAACAAATTACTCTGAGGTTATGGCTTACTATTCAGAGTGCAAAGACCCTGAGCTCAGCGCCATGTTTGTATTGGTACTAGTGCTGTCATTACCAATGTCCTCTTTCTTAGATAATTTATTTTTGGTCGGATTGGCATTGTATGTGTACCACATTTGCATGGCCACTGTGTTGATGACAGCTGCATGGGCATACCTGTTATTTTTCAAACCAGAAGTGGTTTTGATGTTTTCAAATTTAGAGTTAGGATTATTTTTAATATGAATTCTTACAAATGAAAACCTACCTTACCTGTTCCTCAAGACTTTAGCCTCCCTCTGTGAGGGGGCGTTACTGCAAAAAAGTGATCTTTCTTTCCGTTTTCTCTTTTCGTTATTTCTTATTGATATGAGCCAGATCAAAATAGACCTTCATCTTTGTGTTGGGGATATTTTATTTAATAAATTAAGCATTTTATTTTTGTAAGTGTTCCCGTAGCACATTTAATATATAGTTTGCTCGCATGTATTATTTATTAAGGCACTTTAGGTTTTTCCTTCAGAAGCTTTTAGAGCTAGCTCATAAAGATTCTGAACATTTTCAAAAGAAAACAGTTCACTGGACACTGATGAAGTTTTACCCTTCTCAATGTCATTGAAAAGGCAGCATTACAAATAAACATGACAGTGTAACTATAAAGCCATACTCAGTATTTCTTTAATAAACTAGATGTTATTTATTAACCACTACTGAACTGGAAACACACAAAAAGCCAGAGGAAGATTCCTACAAAATGGGCCTTAAAATTTCATCTAGAACGTCTTGGAAGTTCACACAGAAAGCTAGATAAAGACTGAGCATCCAATGAAACCCATTCTCTTGAGAATCTGAATGTTGTGTTTTAAAGGAATTTGAAACTGGTTTTCAAAATAACAGTGGTGGAAAAGAAAGGTGTCAGAGTCCGCTCTTACTGTGCAGTGGGAGGAGGCTGCAGGTGGTGGAGGGGGGTGCTAAGTTTCTACCGGCTGTATTCTGTCTTAGTTTCTTATGAGCTGAAGAAAAAGGCATCTGAGATGCTTCTTCTATTGGAAAGCAGGCTCCAGCCTGAAAGCAAACAGGTGGGTTTTGCAAGCACTGAAAGAATGTATACCAAAAATAACCACAAAACCCTGAAAATGTACTTAGTGGCATCTTCTTTTTGATTTACTAGTGAGACTATTAGAGTCATTTCAGAGAATAAATAGTGTTACAATGCATTGTGCAATAACATAGCAGTATGTTAAACTTCTAAAGGACCAAATGTTCTACAGAGCCACCGGTATGGATAACGTTGACCTATATCATTAATGTTCTTGATAGTGCATAAAATGTATAATCACAGTAGACAAGCTATAAACTGTAGCTATACATAGTTTGCGTTTGTTCATGAAAAGGTGGGTAAGCTTAGCAGAATGAGCAGAGAAGAGGAAGAAATATGTTCAAATGACAATGAAGGGTGAGTATATGTGCACATTCATCATGCTTGCACTGTCAGCTAAATCGTGTACACTGAGTAAATATGACAATCAGGCTCATTTAAAAAGTCTTTCTGGACTGTGCTATGAACTGATCATATATATAATATATATTATATATGTGTGTTTGCATATGACATATATATATACACACACATAGCATATACATGTATGCCTATGTCTGTTGTATTTTATTTATATATGTGCAGACATGCATGCACATTATGTATGGGCTGTGTGTATATGTATAATTTTACATACACCAACGTTATTACAAATGATGATTAGAGTGCTATTAATAAATTGATAAAGTCTGCTGAGTAACCAAAATAATTTTTTTTCTTTTGATATTTCTTTTTCTATGTTTGTAAGATTCAACTTTTTAACTGGTGTGCAGCAGAGGCAGTGCTAGAATGCCAGAGATATAACAACAAGCACTTTTCTTCCCCAGATGATTGCATAAAAACATTTCTTCCATTCCCATCTCACTTGTTGATTTCTCACAATGAAATGAACAGACAAGCTTCCAAGCTTGGAAAACAGAGTTTGTTTTACTGTCATTTCTGGGTTTGTGCTATTGTTTTTTTATTGTCCTAGAATAACAGTGCAGCTCCATTAGCATTTTATACTCGTCTGCAGTAACGAAATAATTCCAAGAATGAGCTGGACTATTCAGACTGCAACACGACTTGTGGGATAATGAGAATGCCAAAATTCAGCAGTAATAATAGCAGCATTCGCCACACTCTGTCCTTCACTCTCAATAGATCTGCAGAACTCGGAACTGGCCGTGGAGAACAGATACTTACAAAGCAACAGCACCCCATGATGCATGGTGGAGTGTACCCTTTTTAAAAGGACTTCATTCATTTTGATTTGTAAAACAATATGTATTGTCTACAGTTTAATAAGTAACTGCCTGTTTTTTCTCTTTTTCTTTCTTTTTCGTCCTTTCTTGCTATTTCTTTATCGCTTTCTTTCCTTCTTTATCTTTTCCTTTCTTTCCTTTTCTCCTTCTTTCCTTCTGCTTTTCTCTTCCTTTCTCCCTTTCCCTTTCTTTCTCTCTGTAGCCCTCCCCTCCTTCTGAGAGATTGTGTTTGTTGTCGTTGATGTAGACTTTTACAAAACAGTTGAAAAAGAAATTAAATAACCAAATAAAATGATTAGGTCACTGGATGACTAAGGTACAATGCATATGTGATAGAACAAGTCTGTGTCTGGGTTGGTGCAGCCTGTAACTGAATTCCAAATACTGCTATAAAATGTGAGGGAGGGGAGTGGGGAGGGGCTGGGGAACAGGTCGGGGTTTCTAATCAAAGATGAAGGTTTTGATAGCACAGGAAGTTGTATTTTCTTGTTCTGAGGGCTAGGATGAACCACTGCTGCTTTGAATCAAGAGGTCCTTTAGAGTCTTAGTTAAAACACCTTTATTTGGGTGGGGCGGGGGGGGTATGCTACATTCATCACAAATATGAAGCAAAAAAAAAAAAAAAATATTTTTAGAAGGTTCTGAGTGATGACCAGCTGGTAGTTTATAAACACTGAATACTTTGGGCAAGGATAATAGAAGCTGCTAGTAGTGAGGCCATTTGATTGGAAGATGTGAGAAAACAGATAAAATTGAATCTTTCCAGAGGCCTGTATCTTGCAGCTTGTATGTATCTTTCTGTAACTTAAAGAAAAGCAGCTAAGAATGTTTTATATACAAGTAATTTAATTCAACATTGATGTTTAATTGAATCACCAATAGAGAGAGAATCAATTAATTATGAAATATTTGTCCCAGCCCTGCTCTCCACCTATACTTTATGTATATATATATATTTCTGGATATCGCTCTCTTTGTCACTTAAGGTAAAGAGGAAGATATCTACATATAAATATAAATCTATATTGTCACCAAACTGTGACCTGGTGTGTAGAGCTATCTTTCTCCTTTCTTTTTTATTTTTCTTTTTTTTTTTAATGTGATGTCTCCGTGGAAATATTTAGTGGTTCTTGTTTTGCAGTTTGTTATAACAAGTCATTGCTTTAAAACTTTCATTGCATCTTGGCTGATTTCAAAGTGATGCCTAGGTATCAGTGTTAACAGTTTTGTTTGTGAATCACGTGACCAGCTTCTCTCAACATGACATGGAAAGTCTCTTGTATTACAGTGTATTTAATAAAAATGGTGTCTTACAATAAACAATGTCATCCAAAAGAAAGATAAAATGATTACTTTAAAAAACCTAAAAATTTCATGAAGTGTTGTGTGCTATTTTCTTTTGTTTGAATCTTTTGAAAAAGATGAAACTAAGGAACAGTTCGGTATGCTTACAAACGTGACATATTTGCACTCTAAAACTGAGTAAAAACCAGGTCGTTGAACTCGTAGTTGACGAAAGAGGAGACCCATAGGAATAGGGCAAAGGAATATCCAATCTGAGTGTGATGACAGACTCCTTTTTTTTATTATTCTTCGTTTTCCAAATGAAAATCATATTTGAATGCTTGTCATTTGGGGAGCTGGCTTAGCAAATACCTGTTTATCTTCTAGCAGAAACAGGCCTTCAGGTATTTTCT